TTTGAGATTCTTATAAAATAAGTATGCATTTTCTCTTGTTTAGAATTTTTCTTTAATTTTTACAATTTTGTTTTCTTGCATTATTTATATTTTTGTTATTCTTTTAAAGTTGTACTACGTTATTACATATTTTCATGTTCAGAATGTTTTAAAAAATTTTATTGTAAAACGTTTGCAGTATTTTAAGAGGTTTTACTTATTTTTATACTACTATTGTAATATTTTGAGAGAAATTCATTTTATGTTAGATTGTATGTTTATAATTTTCAAGATTTAAAATATTTCCGTTTTATAAATTTTTCTTTTTTTTTTTTTTTATTTTGAAAAAGATTTATTTTCTGATTTACATGATTCAAAATTGAATAATTTAGGAATAATACTTTTTGCTTATTAATGTTGGCAGAGGAAAGTTCCCTTTTGACAACCTACCTAGGCTTCTACGGAATAATTGACTTACAGAGTGGAGTAGGCGGAGTAGCTACTACTAGCTAGTAACGAGTGTACCAGATACGGAGTACTTGGACTGGGACTCAAGCAACTGGGCCGGATATCTTATGCTCCGTAATGTCCATTAGTGAAAATAAAATGTTAACTGGCTTATTTTTGAAAAAAAGTTTGAAGGTTGACAAAATTGATATTTCTTTCACTTTTTAGTATATTTGTGAAAAATACCCAAAAGAAAAATCTAGGAGCGCGTTTGATAACCCTATTTTTCATCTTATCAGGCTTTTCATACAACTTTTCATCAAACACGTAATTTTTTATTTTACACGCTGAATTATGTAATAATAAGAAAAAGTAAGGTTGAAATTACTTTTCTGGCTGTATTGACTGAAGTTACTGTAGAGTATCATTTTATCTATTTTTCATATTTTTTTTCTTTATTTTATTAATAAAAAATATTTTAAACATAATTTTTCATAAATAAGCAGATTCAGCCAATTTCAGCCACTTTAGCCAGAACTGCATGAATTTCAGCAGAATCGGTCTATTTACCCAATTTTAGTGTTACCAAAGCAGTTTTACATTTAGAAAAGCTTCATCCGAATCAATTACAAAAAAAAGGTTTCAGAATGACGATTTCCGAATTTGCTAAACCCTGTTTTTTTCCAAAACCCTAATCTATTCGGAATCTTGGGTTCCGAATTACGCTTTCTCAGAAAACCTAAAAAAAGTCCCGTTTTTTGGACTGCATGTTGGATTTTCCCGTATTTTGAGAAATCACGTACCGGTGTATTAATGCTTCATTATAATGCCAAAATAATTAGGGTAGTATAGTTAAAAAAAACAAGAATGTACTCCAGGGAATTGAAATAACATACAGAGTAAACCTCAAATTCTAAAATTTGATATTGTTACTATTCATATTTTGGAAATTTTATTGATTTTTTATTTTTTTCTAAAATCTTAAGTCATTTGAAGTGATAATTGTTCAATAGTAAGGCCTGTATCGATGGTACGCCCCCCCCCCCCCCCCCCAAGAATCACTGTCAAGGGTTGATCGACGCGGTTTGGAGTTTGTGTATTTATCTTTTCTGCGTTTTAATTTTCAGGTTAAGACGTTTGTGTTTTGTTGTTATTGATGGACAATCTACCCGGGGGGTATCTTATCCGAGGGGTTATTGCGGGAATAACTAGAGAGAAGTCAGAGTAAATAGGAGGAGAGAGAGTCGATTTATTAAATGAACTCAGCGTGTGGAGTTGAGATGTGTCTTGTGTTCATTACAAGGAGAAATAGGCTGCTATTTATAGCAGCAATAAATGCGATGAGGGGACACGTGTCAGTAATCCAACGGCCGAAGGGTCACATCAGCCTAGTGGTGCTGGCAGTGGTACGTCAACCGCATTGAATGCGGTTGGCGGATGTGACGTGGCATTAAATGCGGTGGTTGGCTGTCTCTAAAAGGAATCTTCGATGATTGAGCCTGTTCAGCCGAAGGCTCATTGTGTTAGCCGAGGGCTCCCTGGTGTGGCCGGGGGCTAGGTTCAGCCGAAGGTTTCTTGTGTAGCCGAGGGCTCATCGATTATACCGAAGGCTCCTCGTGTAGCCGAGGGCGTAAGAATGCCGAAGGCTCATGTTTTCGCCCGTTTTCTCCCAGCAGCTTCTTGTGCCAGAAAGGCTATCCTGTGAGTTCTGGAGCCTTCGGCCAAGGAGGCCGAAGGTATCCCAGTGTGTAGTCTGAGCTACTTTGAGGCTTGGACCGATGTACTTGGGCCTGAATTGTTTCCTGAGCCCAGTGGACTTGTGTAGGAGAAATAGGAGTCTATGGGCCGGGGGTTCCTGGGCCATATACTCCATCAGTTATCTTATTTTATGCTGCAAGACTCTTGCATTTGGTTTGAGGAATGAGAGGTCTATGGTAATCATTGGCTGTATCTTGTCCAATTTAGGTCTAGCGAGTTATATTGCTTTGTCAAAGGTGATTAACTCAGAGTTTCGGCTAAAGACGAATGATTACATGAGGTTCTTTTGTTATCATGTACCCCTGCTGAATGCTGTTTTATGAATCTAAAACTACTTTGATAATTAAAAAAAATAGTAAGGCCGGTATCTATTCTTTTGACATCGTTACTATCTTTATATATTATACTAGTGTGTCTACCCGTGCATCGCACGGTAAGATATGCGTTAAAGTTTTTTAGGAAAAATGCAAAAGAAGAATATAAAAAAGAATAAGATAGTAGGGGTATGAAGTTGTATGATGTGATTAACAAACCAATGAGTTATATTGAACTTAAGAAGAATGCAATAGTGTTATTAAGAAAAGAAAACTTATATTATTGATATTCATTCGATATGATGATGATGACGATGACGACGACGACGACAACAACAACAACAACAATAATAATAATAACAACAACAACAACAACAACAACAACAAAGGAATAATGATTTAGAAGATATATCGATTATGAGACAAACATATTGGAACAAATGGAAAAGAAGTGACTGGAAAAAGAATGAAATAGAGGTCTACAATAATCATAATTTGGAAAAAATTGAAAATTATTTAATAAAAATTGAGTAAAAATTTTTTAGTTAGACTTAAATTTTATGGTGTAGTCTGTTTATTTTTTTTAATTATGTTTGATATGATTTGATTTGTTTAAGTTTGATTTGATTTAATGTAATATGGCGTGAAATTAGTTTTATAAAAACACGATGAGTGAGTAAGTATTGAAATTTGGGAAACGTTGTATAGCCATGTGTGTTTATTTTAAGGAGCCAGAAATAATTCATATATTACCATTCGATTTTCAAGATAATTCTTATTTTAGGGTAGTTATTTTCAAGATCTTTTTTCATGTATATTTTTACATTGACCAGCGGGGCAGCCTTTAAAACTCGCAAGATTTTGTTAAAGAATTATGAGAGGAATATTTTTTTTTATTTTAAGAGGCTGAAATTTGTTATTTTTTTTAGTTTTGAGTATTTGCAATTTTTGTACTACTATAATATTTTTTCAGTTAGACTTAAATTTTATGGTGTAGTCTGTTTATTTTTTTTAATTATGTTTGATATGATTTGATTTGTTTAAGCTTGATTTGTTTTAATGTAATATATGGCATGAACTTAGTTTTATGAAAACATGATGAATGAGTAAGTACTGAAATTTGGGAAACGATGTATAGCCATGTGTGTTTATTTTAAGGAGCCAGAAATAGTTCATATATTGTCATTCGATTTTTTTTAATAAAAAACATGATTTTGATTCCGTGCGCTAATTGTGTAATAAGCGCCATTTTTTTCAAAATGAAATTGTGTATTCAACAAAAGAAGTAAATTTGATGTTACTTTTTAGCTAATTCATTTTGAGTCAATTGTGTCTGAATCGACTGAAATTACTCAAAATGATATTTGAGCTATTTCAATATACGGAGTAACTTTTTTTTAATTTCATTAATAAAATGTATTTCAAATATAATAGTTTCATAAATTTTCATCTTTTCAAACACTTCAATGAGAATTTTATCAACTTAACAAATTAGCCGATTCAGCCAATTCCATCGCACGAAATGGACTCTTCGTTTATACTATTCTTTTGTAATTCATACTCCCTCCCTTCCACTAAAATTGTCTCATTTATCCTTCTGGAGAAATCTCATTAAGATTATCTCATACCAAATTTGATAAAATTTGTGTCGGTCTAAAATATTATTATTTTATTTGTATTTTATTAATTCAATATCAACTAAAACTTGTCAATAGTAGTGTGACGTAGGTATTAGTATTTTCAATAATTTAAGTGGTTGTACATAAAACATATGAGTTTAAATTTATACATAAACTTTAATCTAAATTCCTCTTGTACGGTGTCTATTTACATGGAGTACATTGTTTGAAGAAGCAACTATAGTAGGATAAGATCACCTTAATAATCCTACGTATGTAGCCTGATTAAACTTTAATCAGTTTAATGTATGTAAGATTACATGTGTAAATACCCACTTGGAGGAATATTGGAAGGTCAAAAGAATTTTTCTTACAGTGCTTGTAAATGCTGCGGACATATGAGAATAATGAGATGTATTAGTGCATTTTCCTTTCCGTAGATAACAAATATTTTTATTTATTCAGGCTGACATATTATGGTTTCACATGTTAATTTTATTACAAAGGGGCAGCCACATGTGAAAACTTCTAGGCATTTTAAGGGTTTCCTTCATAATGTCATATAATGTTAAGTATTTATCCTAAAACTTTAATGTCCAAGTGGGAGGAGTTTTAGAAGATCAACAGATTTTGACTTGTGTATAAGGGCCTATAAGTTTTCGTTAAGGTTTCGTTAATTTTTGACATTAACTTGATGCCACATGTCAATTTTTTGCTTCAAATGAGATGCCACATGTCAAAACTTCCTTCATTGTTCTTCCATGGGATTCCTTTATTATAATATATAGATATTATTATTATACTTAAAGGCACTACGCGCATGAGAGAAGATTTTCTCCCGCCTAACGCTAAGGTCTTCTCCGTAATTTCACTCCTAAAACATAATCGCTCTTCTTTGATCTCTCGCTGCTTGAGAAGATAATTTTTCCTCAACTTTCTTCTTCTTCCGTCCGAACAGCTTCTCCATTTCTGAACAGTATCTCGCTCATCTGTGCTGCGATTCAGAGGTGAGCTCCTTCCCTTTCTTAATTTCTTTTTCTCAGACATACACCTTATCGTTCTCTTCTGACGTTTGTTAATCGCCCTATTTCTCTTCTGCCTAACACTACGCTCCTATTTCTCTGCTGCCTTCTGTTCTCGGGTTCAGCCGGAGGCACACTCCAATTTCAAGTACCACCAGAGACACCAAACACCTCCTGCGATTTCCATGGAAGATTTCTTCGTTTACTTCTTGTGGCTTCCACACTACGATCCACATTTAGATCGACGATTGTTGCTGCAATTGAAGAGATGGACAACCATCTTCTGCCTATCACAGCCGCAATAGCAGAGCAAATCTCCCTTGCAGTTCGAAGCCATCAGCCTCACACCTCAGGTCTCGGTATAGCTCCCACAAAGAGTAATCGGTCCTTTTCCCTGAGCTAAGCCTTTCCATTTCAAACTTCTCCTTGCCTTTTTTAGTTTCAAACTTCTCCTTGCCTTTTTCAGTTACAGCTTGTGGTATATCGAAAATGTTTTACATATGAATTAATTTTGTGGACTGAAATGGCTCCAGTAAAGCTTTAAAATGCTTTTCTGGAATTGCCTCTCATGATATACCAAGCATCTGAGTAGCACATCTGCTATAATTACTCTGTATTCTTTTAATTTGCAGACTCCATGATGTTTGGTCAATTATTTTAAGGAATTTCAATCATTTTAAGTATATAAAGATTTTTAAATAAACAGTGTGTATTTTGCTTTAAAGACATTCTGTGTATTCCTCATTTCTTAGGTAAACATTTGGTCTATACCAAAAGCATCTGCTCTACAAAAAGAAGGCACCTAAAGCATAATTTATGTAGCATATAATCATCATCAGCCCATGAACTTATTTTGTGGACTGAAATGGCTCCAGTAAAGCTTTAAAATGCTTTTCTGGAATTGCCTCTCATGATATACCAAGCATCTGAGTAGCACATCTGCTTTAATTACTCTATGTATTCTTTTAATTTGCAGACTCCATGATGTTTGGTCAATTATTTTAAGGAATTTCAATTATTTTAATTTTTAAGTATATAAAGATTTTTAAACAAACAGTGTGTATTTTGCTTTAAAGACATTCTGTGTATTCCTCATTTCTTAGGTAAACAATTAATGATTACCGATTATTCTAATATAGGTGAACTAATATATTTTTTAATAATTAATAACAGAAATGTTAAAATTTACATTCCTATTGTAACTAAAATTCCTCTTTCCCTCTTTTTCAATTTTAGATTTATATATGTAATATCTCTTCTATTTTATTTCACATTTAAATTCTGATATTTATCATTAGCTATTTAATTTCCTCTTAAGAAATTAATGACTGATTATTGTATATATTTAAACAATCTGGATTTAAATAACTAATAGTTGAGATTTAAAAAATTACTTACCATTATAACTAGGGTTACTCTTTATCGCTGATAATACTTCGTATTTATTAGTACGAAAATTAGTGACCCAGTTTCACTAAAATTGGTATAAAAAATAATGATCTTTAATTAATGATCAGTTTATGTTAATCATTTTTTGTGGGATTTATTTAATAAATGACAAATTATTGTATATATGTTAACTACCTGGATTTTAAAAGTAATGGTAGAGATCGATGCCCTGAGTTACTTACCCAGTACAACTAAAATTCCTCTTTTAAAATTCCTCTTTCTTGATGGTAATTATTTTAAGGCACTGCGAAAATTAGTCACCCAGTTTAACTAAAATTGCTCTTTAATGTTCAGTTTATCTTAATCACGTTTTTTTTCCCTGATTTATGAGTTACTAATTGATGATGGCCTGTCAGCAATAATGATTGCATTTGTTTTAATTGATAAAAAAAAAACTGTTAAATTGTAATACTTATTACTTATTTATGATAGAGCTTACCCATAATAAATAGAATTCCTATTACCGAGTATATCTCTGCTTAGAGACTAACGTGAGATAGACTTTAGCCATCATTCACGATAACTGAAGGTATTAATACCAATAATTATCTTATTATAGAGTCCTATTTCTAATAGATTTTTTCAACCAATCTTATAATCTATATAAACACCTCTTCTGATCGCCTAACGCTTGCAGTCGTGCTACGCCTCAGCTGATTTTGTTCTTCCTTTTTTGCTCTTATTTTCAACAATTATTACAAGGTAAGTAGTTATGATATTAATTTATGTAAACAACTGCGTATCTCTTATCTCCTATTTAAATTTAAATTACAATACCAAGTACCAACTGATTCCTTTTTTTTATTATGTGTTCTACTAATTATAGTTTACAAAACGAGATTGATTATGTGTTGTATTAATTATAGTTTTCCAAAAAAAGTCGACTATGTGTTATATTAGTTGCAGCTGTACGAAAATTTTTTATTTCTCACTACAAATAAACTATTATTGATCCCTTATTTTCTGAGTTTAATTTCATATATAGTGTTTATATATCACTGTCCCTCAAAGGGATTCAAAATTTCTAAAATATTAAGAGTACTTTTTTGTAAAACATCAAAGCAGATCTTATGGCCATTTTGTTTTGCTAAATTGTTAACAATTAACCTGCGATGAGTAACTAAAGTTTAAACTATAATTTGCTTGGTTACTGCCTGTATTGTTTGAACTTATTTGTTGTTCTTAGATTGGAATATGCAAATATGTTTTTAACAGCTTTAGATTTTTTTTTTTGTTCTGCTTTGTTCAGGAAGCTTTATTTTGTTATGTCATTTATTTGTTTATACATGTATATTTCTAAATAAAATACGGAAGAGATTGAGTTAGTGTATGTTTAACAAAAAAATGTTTTTGGGTTCAAAAGGAATGGTAAGAATGACAAATTGGGTGAATTTTTCTGTTCTGTTTTGTTCATTAAGTTTTGTTATTGTTCTGTCATTTATGAGTTTATACAAGTAGACTTCTAAATAAAAGAAGAATATAGATTGAGTGATGGACAACCATCTTCTGCCTATCACAGCCGCAATAGCAGAGCAAATCTCCCTTGCAGTTCGAAGCCATCAGCCTCACACCTCAGGTCTCGGTATATTGATGGCCTCACAGATGCGAGTTATTGGTCAACTGCACGGTCACTTCGTATTTTATTTGCTACTCTTCTGGTTTCAAATGAGTTCTCGAAGCCAGACTTAGTTTGGGAGAAGTGCTGAGAGTTTTTAGCTGATGACATTCTATACAATATTCGCAAGAATATGAATAATCCAGGTATATTCTATGACAATTATTGAACTTCTTCAATGAATTAATTGATTATATAAATTAATATAGGAAAAAAGACACAAGAATTATCCCAACTTTTTATGACCTTCTCATATTAATATCAAATATGTGTAATCCTAAAGTAGTACAAAGTATATAGGTAGTCTTCTAATATTTATCCACGATAAAAAAAATCTTTTCCTTCATATTCAATTCATCTACGGTTACAAAAACATGAATTAGTGACATAATATAGTTACATTCTTCAATTTCTAAAAACAAAAAATGTATTAACAACATAAAATATAGTTAACTTAAATAAAAAAATCATATATTCTTCGAATACCTGTATTATTTTGAAAGTTATTCGTTTGTAGTAGTAGTCTATGAAGAATTCTCAATTAAACGTTGGTGAAAAAAATTATACATTTTTTCATATCGAGCGATATACTACATAAAAAAAAGTATGTTTATATATTTATGTAGTAAACATGTTTGTTTTATTTATATGTTAATTGAAGTTAGAAGTATTGCATGTGTCGTTTAGTTGTGATTAAATGTTTAATTTTAGTAAATTTTTTGTATTAGCTTTTTTTACTTACTAGAATGTTTAGCCACCATTAATTGAAGTTAGAGACTCTTAGGATTTTTTACACCACCATTACATATTTTCTTTTAATCAATTTATATGTGCCTTTTCAGATTTTGAACTTGATCAGGGAGAGATCCAAAAGTATTGTTTGTTGGAGATTCAAAAACTCCTGCAGTCAAGGGGCAGATCACTGTGTGACTTTGTTGGCATACCATTACTACCCGATGAAGACATGCCCACGCTCGAAGAGGTGCTCATTCATGAAGAGTTGCAATACAACAAATCAAATTTGATGGAGGAGCATGCAAAGTTGTTGGCTGAAATGACAGATGAACAACGTGTGGTGTATGACAAAATCGGGGAATTTGTAGAACGTAGAAATGGGGGTTTCTACTTTTTATATGGCCACGGAGGAACTGGGAAAACATATCTATGGAAGACTTTGTCTGCAGCACTCAGATCTCGTGGTGATATAGTGCTTAACGTGGCTTCCACGCATCGCTCCTCTTGCCTGGTGGAAGGACAGCACATTCGAGATTTGCGATTCCGCTCAACATGACAGAAGACTCGATGTGCAATATAAAACATGGTAGTCCGCTGGCTAAGCTAATCCAGTTATCCAAGTTGATCATATGGGATGAGGCGCCGATGACACACCGACACTGTTTCGAGGCTCTTGATAGGAGTATGAGAGATGTGCTTAAATACTCCAGCCATTATGATGCGAGCTTGCCTTTTGCTGGAAAGACTATTGTATTCGGTGGTGACTTTAGACAGATCCTTCCCGTGATTCCAAAAGGCACGAGACAAAATATTGTGCACGCAGCACTGAATAGCTCATTTCTGTGGTCATTCTGTACCGTAGTGAGACTATCAAAAAACATGAGGCTAGCAAGGATGGCGGGTGAGCCTAATGAACCAGCAATCCAATCTTTTGCAGACTGGATTTTAAAGATAGGGGATGGCGCTTTTGCAGAAAATCAAAATGGAGAATCACTCATTGAAATACCGGACAATATGATTGCTCCAATGACGTCCGATCCAGTTGATTCTATTGTTCGAGCTATCTATCCCGACTTCTTGACCCAGAGTGATCCGATTTCTTATCTTTATTCCAGGGCTATTCTTGCCCCGACCATAGATGAGGTTGAAAAAGTCAATGATTACATGCTGAGTCAGATAGATTCAGAGTTGAGAACTTAGCTAAGCTCAGATTCAGCTTCTTCACCTAGCTCCGATGGTGATCTCTTACATGAGATACATTCCCCTGAATTTCATAATAGCATTAAATGTTCAGGTTTGCCGAGTCATGAGCTAAAGCTAAAGGTGGGGGTTCCTGTGATGCTTATGAGGAATATAGATCATTCATCTGGATTGTGCAATGGCACACGACTTTTGGTTACTAAACTTGGAGATCATATTATCGAGGCTAAGATGATGCACGGAGAAAATGCTGGTGAAAAGTTTCTTATTCCTCGACTTACTTTGACACCATCAGACGTTAGGCTCCCTTTTACTTTTCAGTGTAGACAGTTTCCGTTAATGGTTAGCTATGCAATGACCATTAATAAGAGCCAGGGTCAATCATTGGAAAAGGTGGGCGACGGCCTGTTTTTACGCATGGACAGTTGTATGTGGCGGTCTCGAGAGTAACAAGTCCATCTGGGTTGAAGTTTGTCATATACTCATATGTGACGAAGACGGACAACCTACAAAGTCTACATTGAACGTTGTTTACAAAGAAGTTTATAATAATTTATAATTTGTTTGACAATTCCGTGGACAAACATGCACACCTATGTTTAATTTCAGATTAAACATGACTTCTTATTTTAACTTTTATTTTCAATTAATTGATTCACTGTCAACTTTTCCCTAGCTTCTTAAATAATTTATCTAAATTCGTATGTAACTGCTTTACTCCCGTGCAACGCACGGGTGGAGTAACTAGTTCCTAATATGGGAAGTCATTGGAGTTGATGTGTTTTCCTAAACTGAGAGGCCGTTTGGTAACATCTTTTTTTGGCTTATCAGGCTTATCAGCTAACTTTTTCACCAAACACGTAACTTTTACTTTCGCGCGCTGAATTGTGTAATAAGCAGAAAAAGTAAGGTTAGAGTTACTTTTCTGGCTGTATTGGCTGAAGTTAATGTAGATGACCATTTTAGCTATTTTTACATATATTTTTTTCTTTATTTTTTTAATAAAATATATTTTAAAAATAATTTTTACTTAAATCAGCAGAAACAGCCAAAGCAGCCATTTCAGCCAGAACTTCATAAATTTCAGCAGAATCAGGCAAAACAGCCGATTTTCGGGCTACCAAACGGGCTCTGAAATAAATTAAAGAGCAAGTTACGTGTATTTCATTAAAGAAAGAGGCAAGGAAAAGTACCAAATTAGCCCTAAAAAAATCATTACAGATAAAGGGGTGTATTTTTTCTCTCTTAAAAATAAGAAAGGAAAAGTTCCCGAAATGGGACTAAAACAGTTTGAAAATTTCAAAATAGGACCGACATGTTTTTATTCCTAAAATAGGAGTAATTACTGTCAAGTTTGGAAAATACTGTCATGTTTGAAGTCTGGTACTGCCAATGTTCTAAAAGGCGCTAGGCGCTAGTCGGGCGCCAGCACAGCGCCTAGCGCCTAGGCGGCCAGGCGGGTGCCTAGGCGGGGATTAATCGGAACATAGAAATTATAATTTTATTAATATTTTTGCATAAACATGATTAATAATGTTGTGTTTATGTGTATATAAAATATAAAAACACACATTCACACACTAGCATGCATGAATGATAAGAGTTTTCACATTTAATAACATATTATACATACTTCTTAACTTCAAGTAATATTACGTAATAATTATTAATAAATAATAATAACACTTAAGAATACATATATATAAAAGCATGTATAGTATTTATATTAATCAACAACTAGTGGTTTTCTTCATATGCGTTGTTATAGTTAAAGATACATATATCTCTTAGAATACTAAAATAAAAAGCAAAATAAAATGTTCGATGAATCTATATGACTAGGCGGCCGATTAAGCGCTCTAGGCGGGTAGTTAGGCGCCTTAGGCGGCCGACTAATTCACCTAGGCGCCAAATCAATTAATCGGAGCACCTAGACTAAAATCGGGGCGCCCGAGTGCCGCCTAGCGCCTAGGCGGGGACTAATCGGGCGCCTAGAGCGATTTTTAGAACCCAAAACATGACAGTAATTAGTCCTATTTTAGGAATAAAAACATGACAGTCTTATTTTTAGAATTTTCAAACCTATTCAGTCCCATTTCGAGTAATATCTAAATAAGAAAATATGTCAATTTCCCAATTTCAAATTTCCAGTCAAAGTGTGCGCCCAACAACAGCTGGACCGGAGTGCGAAGTTTTTTCTTTTTAATACCCAAATGAAAACCCTAGCTACTACTCCGTATACCTTCTCCTTAAGCAGGCCGGCGACCTCTCCCTGCAAATTGCACCCAGATATATACACGAAAATCGACCGGCCGTCCGGCCAAGAAAAGTACGTAATGGAGTTTTCCGTCCAAGTCGCTTTGCACGAGATGCATAAAAAGATTGAATCATGCGAAAACGTTGGGATTTCGCCTTTGGGTATATCATTCATACTGGACATGATTGCTCATGGCGCTACTGGGGAGACCTTAGCCCAGCTTCTTCACTTTCTCAATGCCGAAAATGTTGATGATTTGGTTTCTAACGCCTCGAAGCTCATGCAGATCGCCAAATCATCTAGCAATGTTGACCATGGTGGTGGTGATGATGATGATGATGATGATGATGATGATGATGATGATGATGGTCCTGTTATCTGCAATTTTAATGCCGTGCTTGTGAGTCATAAGCATACTCTCAAGAAATATCACCAAGAAGTACTGGAAAACATGTATCATGCTAAAGTCCAGTACGTCGATTTTTCTCGCATGGTACGTAACACATATACCATAATTCCGTGTACATTCTCTTATACTTTCATTGCTTCTATATTTTTTATGTGTGTATATATAATACGTGAGAGGGGAAGGGGAGGGGAAGTGAAAGAAATAATTTAAAAATATCATTTTTTTCTTGGTCAAGGAATTTCATTTTATTCGCTTAATTCAGATGTAAATTTTTAATTATATTCTAATTTGGAGTTTGCAACTTTGAAGAGATTTCAATATAGTTTAATTTTGAATATGTCAATTTTAATTAATTATTAAAAATTGAATTAATTATCAATAGAGAGTTTATTATTGATTAACCAAAAAAATGTTGACTTTGCAAAACAATTTGGGACAGAGGGAGTATGAAACAAATACAAGGGGTATATTTGTAAATATTAAAAGTTACGTTATGACGTGTATTTATAAATAATACTATCGGTATTACTCGATCATGGAAATTATAGAAATATTATGAGGTATTTATAAAAAAGAAAATTATAAGAATTGTTTTGAACATATATAGGGAGCTAGATGCACGGTGTCCCGATAGGGTCAATTTCCTCACGTACTCCTTATTAGGGAGTAATTACTTCTGCCATTTTTACTGTGTTTCTATATACTCCATACGGAGTACTACCTCCGTCCCATTTTATGTGTCCTACTTTTACTTGATACGATTATTAATAAAGTGGTTGAAAAAGTAAAAATTATGGTTGAATATTGAGTATAATAAAGTGAAATGTTATATATAGACCACATATTTCTTTCTAAAAGGGGAAATTTAACACTTAATTTGGGACAATCCAAAAAGGAAAGTATGACAGGTAAAACGGGACAGATGGGTTATTATTTAATGGCACATACACAGTGTTATGTTTCATTTTTTTAGCACCATGTAATTCGTGACTTCTTCTCAGGAGAAAGGAGTCCATGAAGTGAATGAATGGGTGGACCGTGAGACGAAAGGGGTTATAAAACCACTTCTTCTTAGTAATGCCTTTAACAATAAGTATCTAACCCTAATCCATGCAAACGGCCTTTATTTCAAAGCAAGCTGGCAAAACGAGTTTCATCCATTAGAAACACAAATTAAGGAATTCCACCTTCTCGGAGAAAAAGCGGATGAGCCACTTTTCGTTGACGTACCCTTCATGATGAAATATGAGAGCTATTACAAGCACACTTCATTTGACGACTATAGTGTTCTTGAGATGCCCTATAATTCCGGGCATGAAGATAAGACATTAAGAAGGAGTTTCTCCATGGTCATCATTCTCCCCAAGGAAAAGAGAGGGCTGCCAAAACTAGTGGATAAGATAAGAGAAAACCCTTATCTCTTGTCTTGCAAGAATATGGAGTATGAGCTGATTTCCACCTTACAGGTTCCGAAGTTTACGCTCTCTTATTGTTTTATACCATCAGGGGTCATGCAAGAATTGGGGCTAAGGTTTCCTTTCAAAAAGGATGAGCTTTCTGGTATGGTGGAGGGCACTTCACTCCGTGTCTCCAACATCATTCAGCATAGTCGAATGGAATGCAATGAAGAAGGTACAGAAGTGTTGAGTTGTACTTATAATGCAATTGATGATGAGTGCTGTTTTGAGGATTCACCGCCACGATCGCTGCCGATCAACTTCATAGCCGATCATCCGTTCGTGTTTGTCATCAAAGAAGATGTTTCTGATACCATACTCTTCCTTGGTGCAATCTATAATCCTCTACAATAAATTAAGTATGCACCTTCTATTTGATCAGAATAATGTTCCATGTTTTCAAATATTCACCGTGTATTTTCCTTTTTGCAAGACAAGTAATCTCATATTAAGTAAATTATCAAACTCCAAGTTCTTGAGTACAAAAGTAGGAGGAACAAAGAATCAAAACTGACAACCAAACAAAGAAACGGTTGCTCTAGCCGTTGCAGAGCTGCCGGCCATGAGGCCAATTGGCCTAGGCACTTGTCTAGGGCTGATACACTTGTAATTTCCGTGTGTATGTTTACGTTTTTAGCTAGTTTTGGTTGTTTAGTATTTCGGAAATTACACACTTTTGGTGTAATAGTTTAGTTTGTTGAATTCTTGTAATTTGTTTAGATTAGGGTCATTCTGAGCTCAAACAGGTCTACCATCACTCAAAGGACAGTTGGTGAACCCCAAAAGTGGAAGGAAGGTGCAAAATCACAAGACAAAAGGGAAAATCCTGATTTTGGTCTATACTCGGTCGAGTATTACCTATACTCGATCGAGTATAAGGTTGAAACTTCAAATCGGATCGGATCCGAAGACAAAGGAACATGCCGGGAAGATTTTGGCCACGATTTAGTGTCTATACTCGATCGGGTAGACCGACATACCCGATCGAGTATGCCTTTGAGTTTAAATCCGAAATCGGTCGAGTATGGCTCGAATATCACTTTCTGCACATACTCGACCGAGTATGAACATATACTCGATCGAGTATACCTCGAATCTGGTATTTCTACACATACTCGATCGAGTATCTGTATATACTCGATCGAGTACCCGAGCCTGCACCTCAAAAAGCCTATAAATACACCTCCTTTCCTTCACTTTAAGAAACCAATTCCTATATACTCTTAAGCTCAGTTTAGAATAGCATTTCTCTATATTTCTTTTAGCATGTTTAGTCTCCAAATGAGGAGCTAAACTTCCATTTCTTGGTTTTGCTCTTGAAGCTTGATTGATTATTAAAGTTGTGAATTATTTTCTTACTTTCTCCTCTTGAATATTAATTCTTCCCTTAATCTCATTCTATATCATTGTTGGAGGGTGGCTAAGTGACGATTAGTTAACGTTCCAACATTGATTATTACTAGAAACGTTCAATGAACCGATGGTTAAACGTTGAAGGTTTCACAAGTAAGTAACTTCGGTTTGTTAATGCACGGTCGTGGTTAATAAACTTAAGAGGGATCAATTTTGTTGGTTAAACCAAAACCGTTGCGTTGAGGTTATCAATCTCAATTGATTTCATCAAGGAGTTAAATAGATTGAATGCTACTATTATATCGGTATACGGCGTTGTTCTATATTTGATTAATAGTAAGGGTTATTAATGAACGGTCGCTGTTAATAACTACCCTCGATGAACTGGTTATACTCCGCGATTGAGTATTCGAGAGGGGATAAGTTATGGATATAACAATGATCGACTAAAATATATCAACAAGTGGAAAGTAGCAAGACCAAGTCCCTTTTATCTTTGAATTAAATCCCATATAAATCGTTCATCTTCGTGTTTAATTTAATTAAATCACTCAACAATCAAAACCCCCCCTTTTACTTACTATTTATATAAAAAGAAAGTTATTCCTTTCCCTGTGGATACGAACTCTACTACGCTATACTACGTATAAGTATTGTATTGAAATAAATTTTGAGTGCACTCACGACAAAGTGCACGTCAAATTTGGCGCCGTTGCCGGGGAAAGGCAATTATTTTTCTTTTTTATTTTATCTCATAAAAATAAAAAATAAAAACAACAAAAATTTAGAATAAAAAAAAAATAATAAAATAAAATCTTACTCTTCTATTTCTGAGCTTTCATGAGTATATGGATACCAATCTATCATCCCTAGAGAGTCAAATTTCCGACTTGACTTCTCTAATAAAGGAATTTATCTTAAGCCCAAAAGCTCAAGATGCCAACACATGCAACATTTGCATGTCTCACAGACATCTTACGGATTTCTGCCCAAAGCTCCAAGATGAATACCTTAAAAGTGATGATGTTGGTTACAAAAGGGATGAACCTCACATGAGGTATGATCCGTTCTCCAACTCTAACATGTCTACGGAGGATATGGTCCGGGCTATTGCTACCAACATGACCACCATGCAAAACAACATGGTACAATTCCAAAATGAGACCAAGTCTAGCATTTTAAACTTGGAAACTCAAATGAGTCAAATAGCCGGAGCCGTGAGTAGGCTTGAAGCAAGGGATTCAGAAAAACTTCCTTCTCAAATAGAATGTGATCCTAAACAGCAAACTTTTGCAATCACATTGACAAATGAAAAGGAGATACAAAAGGAGATCCAGAATCCAGAAGAAGTAGAAGAAGAAAAAGACACGGAGCTCCAACTGGTCAAAGAAGAGGATAAGCTGAGCTTCAAATTCAAATTTTTGTCATTGTCATCCTTTGAGGTATCTCCATCATCTCTGGAAGCTTTAAGAGAATCTCGTAAACTTGAAATGGAAAATGACATTTCTGAAATCTCCTTCAAAATTGAGGGATCGAAAAACTTTTCATTGACCATACTACATGATAATTTCTTCCCCTTCCTCCCACCACATAAATCAATGAAAATCTGGATATTTGATCCTGGAAAGATTTCCAAAGTGGAGAGTCGAGAAATTGAGCACTCCTATGGAGGTCCTAGGAGTGAAAATTTGAAGAAAATTAATTATCATGATCCAAGCTTGAACGATTGAACACAATGATGGCGTCGTGCCGCGACGTTAAATTAGGCGCTTCTTGGGAGGCAACCCAAGCAAGGTATGTTTTCTTTTCATGTTTATTTCAGTTTGTGTGCGTGTGTAAAAAAAAAAAAAACAAGGGAGAAAAAAAAAAAGGTGTATTTGGAGACATACCCGATCGAGTATAAGTCAATACTCGGTCGAGTATGTCTGGAAAATCAAAACCACGAGCAGCCTGTCTCCTATACCCTATCGAGTATCTATCAATACTCGGTCGAGTATCACTGGAAAAGCCATATTCGCACCCCCTGTCTCCAGTACCCGATCGGGTATAGAGAGGCACCCGATCGGATATACCTGCGATTTAACCCCAAAACACACCCCAAAACACTTCATCTTCTCCAAACACCCATACCAACCTCGACCCCTTCTCCCCAAAACTCCATTTTTCTACCTTCTCTCTACCATATCTCCATCATTTCCCCACCAAAACACCCACAACCCACCAAAAATCAAAATCACCCTACTCCACAAACAACAAAAGCCGAAATTGGGCACTAGGGACAGTGCTTGAACTAAGTGTGGGGAGGAGACTCATCATGGGTATGTAATCTTATTTTTTACCTTTTACTACGCATGAACTTCTTTAAAAAAAAACAAAAAAAAAAACAAAAAAAAAATGAAGAAAAGAAATGCTAGTTAGGTTGAAAACCCAACAAAATGGGCAATCTAAGCAAAAAAAAGGCTTGTGAAAAATGATGAGTGAGTTGGGAGAATGGAAAATGAAAAGAGATGCTAGGATGAAAACCTGAAAAGGCTCCTAGGCAAAATGAGAGATATGAGAGAAATATTTATTTTTGCATGCACTCATTTAATCTCTTTGGAGAAAAAAAAGAAGAGAAGAAAAAGAAAAAAAAAAGGCAAGAAGATGGAGCATAGAAGATCATTAAACCCAAGAAAGAATGTTGTTGTAAAAACTCATTTTTCCCCTTGGTGGTCTTAGTTTCCTTCTTTCTTGAACTTTTGGAAAACTCTTAAACCGTTTGGATGTTTCTGTTTTACTCGAGGTCGAGTAAAGAACTAAGTGTGGGGGAGTTGATACACTTGTAATTTCCGTGTGTATGTTTACGTTTTTAGCTAGTTTTGGTTGTTTAGTATTTCGGAAATTACACACTTTTGGTGTAATAGTTTAGTTTGTTGAATTCTTGTAATTTGTTTAGATTAGGGTCATTCTGAGCTCAAACAGGTCTACCATCACTCAAAGGACAGTTGGTGAACCCCAAAAGTGGAAGGAAGGTGCAAAATCACAAGACAAAAGGGAAAATCCTGATTTTGGGGTCTATACTCGGTCGAGTATTACCTATACTCGATCGAGTATAAGGTTGAAACTTCAAATCGGATCGGATCCGAAGACAAAGGAACATGCCGGGAAGATTTTGGCCACGATTTAGTGTCTATACTCGATCGGGTAGACCGACATACCCGATCGAGTATGCCTTTGAGTTTAAATCCGAAATCGGTCGAGTATGGCTCGAATATCACTTTCTGCACATACTCGACCGAGTATGAACATATACTCGATCGAGTATACCTCGAATCTGGTATTTCTACACATACTCGATCGAGTATCTGTATATACTCGATCGAGTACCCGAGCCTGCACCTCAAAAAGCCTATAAATACACCTCCTTTCCTTCACTTTAAGAAACCAATTCCTATATACTCTTAAGCTCAGTTTAGAATAGCATTTCTCTATATTTCTTTTAGCATGTTTAGTCTCCAAATGAGGAGCTAAACTTCCATTTCTTGGTTTTGCTCTTGAAGCTTGATTGATTATTAAAGTTGTGAGTTATTTTCTTACTTTCTCCTCTTGAATATTAATTCTTCCCTTAATCTCATTCTATATCATTGTTGGAGGGTGGCTAAGTGACGATTAGTTAACGTTCCAACATTGATTATTACTAGAAACGTTCAATGAACCGATGGTTAAACGTTGAAGGTTTCACAAGTAAGTAACTTCGGTTTGTTAATGCACGGTCGTGGTTAATAAACTTAAGAGGGATCAATTTTGTTGGTTAAACCAAAACCGTTGCGTTGAGGTTATCAATCTCAATTGATTTCATCAAGGAGTTAAATAGATTGAATGCTACTATTATATCGGTATACGGCGTTGTTCTATATTTGATTAATAGTAAGGGTTATTAATGAACGGTCGTTGTTAATAACTACCCTCGATGAACTGGTTATACTCCGCGATTGAGTATTCGAGAGGGGATAAGTTATGGATATAACAATGATCGACTAAAATATATCAACAAGTGGAAAGTAGCAAGACCAAGTCCCTTTTATCTTTGAATTAAATCCCATATAAATCGTTCATCTTCGTGTTTAATTTAATTAAATCACTCAACAATCAAAACCCCCCTTTTACTTACTATTTATATAAA